ACGAATACCAAATGATGAATTGAAGTGAAAGCTACATCACCTGAATTATATCTAATGAAAACGTAAAATAGCAATAATAATAAAATGTGTAAAAATATAAATCTTTTTAAATTAAGCCCGTGTATTGTGAAAAATACACAAGACATCTACTAAGTTTTAGGCCTAATTTTTTAATAAATTCTAAAAAATTTTCCTAATGAAAACTGACATCCTTTATTACTATGACATCTGAATTTGGCTTTCTTAAAATTTAGTTTGCTTATCGACAGAAGTTTCTATGTACATAATTATTTGCTATGATTCTTTGAATACCTGTTGTCATGGATTCGAAAGCTGATCAAAGTACAGCTAAAACATTTTACTATAAAGCGAGTAAGCAGCAAAGGGACATTTGAAATGCTATTTAGAGCATAAATGGATCCAACGCTTTTGTTGATACTGGATTTCCTTTTGAACGCGAAGATGTAGAGATGAATTTAGGAGCGATATTCCTTTGCATTCTCAGACGGATGAGTACATAGAAAAGATCCAACGATTGTTGGTAAAGAATCAATATCTGTCTCTTTGAATGATATATGATGAGCTTAACAAGGGTAACTGCTTACAAATTATCGGAGATCGTTTAAAAAATTATCATTGAAAAAAGAACAATTTGTTTTCGATATGTTCCTCCCATATTTACTGGAAAACAGAAAGAAGATCTAATTTCCGCATGTCATGATTTAATTCATATGGCAGGCATTAATCCTGATTTTTTTCAAACAAATTGTGACTGTGAAAAACATTTATTGTTTTGTTGTTATCATCCTGAGATAAAATGATAGCTATCTGCTAGTATTGAAGAAGACACTTCATGGCCACAGAGACTTCGGTCACAGAAATCTGGAAAAAGGTCATGTTGATGATCTCTTTGAACGTAAGAAATAACTCACAAAGCGTTTGTTCAGACAGACGGCCATTTCTATATTTAATAAAGACGTAAAGAAAATCTCTTAAAGAGAATTCATTGCACTACATCTCAAAAAGCTCACTCGGATAACTGTTTTCGGCTATTTTGCAATACGCTGTCATAAAATTCCATTCTCACGAAGCTATTTCTAGTAACGAAAGTTATCGTAATCATTAATAAGTCCCTTGTTCACCAAATCTAGGCTATTTTCTACTACTCTTAAAAATACTACTTTCTCTTTCCTAAAATGAAGTCTCACCTCAGACATCGTTACTTGAAGAGCACTGAAGAGTTTCAGAAAACGTACCAGGTACTCAAACAGTTTTATAAAAGATGAATTCTACAAATTAATCAAGGTGCCAAGCGCTGTATAAACTTGCAAAGTTTAGATATTGAAACTAATTAGTAAGAATATTATTTTCCTTAACCTTCGATTTTGTACGAACATAGACCTAAAGCTTTGCAAAATGCTGTGTGTCCTAACATCTATAACTGTTTAACAGTCAATGAGTTAATAAACTGAACACATGAACATTCTGTACTTGCTTTTGCTACAGGCTAGTGGTGGAAATGGTTAGCTTTATCATAATTTTAAATTTATGAATGTTTTTACGTTTTGTATTGAATATGCAATAAAGATGTAGCCTAGTATTCATAAGACATTTTCACTGCACTCTCAATGTGAAACATGTGGAGAGTGTCAGTTTTAAGATGACAATGAAGAATATACCTTTCTACCTTTAACACCTAATTAAGGCAAGTAAGAAAGGTTTTTAGTCTGGAACTCTGATTATAAAGCAAACCGAAATCTTATTTAATTAGGAATGCTCAGTATTATTATTTTAAAGTTAAAATCAAACCATGTCTTTTTTCAATACAAATTTTTTTCCAAATCTAGAGGCAACCCCCAAAAAAAGGTTTGGTACTTAATATTCTGAAAAAATTATGCTTTCAGTCCATGACATATGAATCACTGTGTCGAAAAAAATGAAATATCTTTGTATCCAAAATGAAGTATTTGTGATTTTTTTGATAAAATATCCGAACGATCTCTACAAGGTTTTGGCTTTATCAAAGTAATGAAACCTGAGTTAGATATTTGAAATATTGCTCTTTTTACCCCCAAACAGTGTTAGTTCAGAAGGGCTATTAGTCTCGAAGGGGGATTTTGCTTGAAACATTGTAAAAGGCTGAATCACTTTACAAATCGTCGATACCAAATATTATAGCCCTGTATTATTTTAAAAGAAATTAAATAAAGTAAACTGTGCATGAATGTAGGGCACGTGCACTTGGAAGACCGAATTTTGAATTTTGAATTTGTTTTGTTTCATTATTTCTTTCACATTTTATAAAGTATTAAACGAATTTTTGATTAACAAACTGAAAGGTTTCTAAGCGAGCAGTGGCAACACTGTTTTATTTCCAGCGCGCGAGACTGTCTATCGGAAATTTTAAAGAGATGCCGTTTTTAAATATTTTGTGATATTGCTATTAAATTGAATTTTATGTGGTTTAAGTGTGAAGAACATGATATTTAATAAATAAAGGTAACACACAAAAACGTTAAAAACGCCCCTTTAGCGTAATATAAAATATGAAAGCTTTCAGATTATTTTTTTTTTTTTGCTTGTTTGAACGTTTTAAATGTCGCAATATGAAACCTTACAGTTTGATCATTTTATATATTTTTTGCTAGCTTACATAATAGTCTCAGTACGCGATGCACTTTTTGAGAGAATATTCTTTCTTTACTCTTACTTAAAACAAAACAAAGAAAACGATTACGCCTTGATTTTGGTATGCTGAATACTGCATTCAAATTGCGGAAAAGGGTTGGCAGCAAGTTCGTTTTTCGTAGTTTTCTGATGCTTAGTGTAAATAAGCATGTCTCCTTAGAAAATCTTCCATGAAAATATTTTTTCTACTTAACGTTCTATTATTCAATTAAATAAAATATTGCATGAATCTTTTAGATCTTATGAGAGTATTGACATGGTTATTTTTATCAGAAAAATTTAGAAATATCGCCACAGTCAGAGAAACCCTACGAAATTTTACATCTGAAATTAAACTATGCGTTTGACATAGATTCCATTTGCTTTAATGGTTGTGTGAAAGTTTTGACGTTGATCTAAATCAGTAGCATTTTATGTGATGTGATTTTATTTAATTTTGACTTTTTTATGTTTCTTTTATTAATGACATGAAATCAAAATTTTAATTTGGCAGCTATTTCACATTCTGTTTCCGGAGAGTTACTTTTGAAATAGCTTTGCAAATGCAACCTAATGTTTGCTCTAAAACTCTTACTTTTTCCTAATATTTACTATGCATCATTTTTGTTTGCGATGAAACTGCAACTAAATAAAACTAAGCATGAAAATTTGCATCCAGCAAATTCTATTTCATAACATTCCACTTTGAACATATTCCATTTAATAACAGTCTAACTGTTATAAAATGGTATTATAATTAGGTGCAAATATTTAATAATGGAAAAAATAGATTTGTGACTTCCAGTCATGAATTTAATACTTTGTGTATCATTTTAATTATTACTTACTCATTATGAAATTAAACAAAACGACAATATTCTTATTAATTTTATTCCTGTCATAAAATTTTGAGCAATGGGGGTTCTGGAGTTTGGCCAAAATCTCTATTCATGATTCATTTCCCATTGTTTTAGCGCTTCTTAAATACTTGGTTAAACATTGTGCCAAGATTAACTCTTTATCCTGGTGGACGGTTCGAATATTATTTCGTGCTGAAGGAAACAAAATCTCACATTTCGATTTTAACATGTCAAGGCTTTCTTCTGTACAGTGCCTGTGAGATTAAAAGCTAAAGAGTGTTTTAATTAAAAGCCAATAAGAGGAAAGTCTCAAAAATGTTTAAATGTATCTATATTACTCTTATCGAATGCAATCATTATTGTCAAAAAAGGTTATTCAGCGTTCCGAGTTCAAGGTGGAGAAGATTTAATTTAGAATCCTAATGTAAGCATAAATTTTATATGTAGTGGGAAATAAGAAACTCTTATGTAACCCCTTTTATTGCGGTAAGCGGGATGGAATCTCCGAACCTAGACAGAGTTACAGGATTAAATCAAAAATATGACTATGTTTAATCGCGCCATGTGATGACAGTATTATGGCTACAAGAATTGAGATAATGACACAGAAAAATCAATTCTTCAGATTAAAGAATAATGCACAACAATAAAAACTGTATTCATTTCATTCCTTTGTCCTTTAAGTTATTAGAGAATGTTTTTAAATCATTATCACTGTTACTGCATCGATGTGATTTTCTTTCTTGAGATTTTTCCTTCAGGACACTTTTCTGTCATAAACAGTCGCGTTCCCCACTTTTCTATAGTCAGGGGCAACAATGTTACATTAAAAATCACATTATGTCATTCTCGCACCTTCTGGAATGCGTCGCCCACGTCTTCATCGTCTTAACACTTAACCTTACCAATTTGAAATCACATAATCCTTTTCCTAAAAACGTGGAACTCTTTCGTCGAAAACTTCTGATTTAGAAGAATGCCTGATAATGGATTCTGTGCAAATTTTTCTCTTTAAAAAGAAATGCTTTCCTCCAGGTACGAGATGTATGATTTATATTTTAATTTTACTGCCGAGAAAATTGCTACGAAGAAATAGGAAAACCAGTAAGTTTAGCTTAAGAAGAGGATTGGATTGGATAAAGAGCACGAAGGATGTCTGCCTAAGAGTAGGGGTGCCTTCGCATGAAGACGTTTTAAGTTAAATTGGTTCGTATTCACGTTACATACTGAGAAATTTACAAAATTCTCTACGCGACCAAATTTTTTACGAGTCATCTAAACTTGGATCGAACTAATAATGTCCAGTAATTTACCCCCGCCCACTGATAGCTTAAAGAAAACGATTTAGGAAATGCGTAGCTAGAAATTAAGCCTTAGAAATTTTTCTGGAAATGTGCGTGGAAGAGAGATCATCCAGTAAAGTTCAACTTGAATATTTCGTGTGTATTTATCTATAACCTGTTCTTTTTCCAGGTGTCCGGTGTCTACACATGGCCGAGCGGCAGCACGTTCGAGGGCCAGTGGCAGAATGGCAAGCGGCATGGTTTGGGGGTGGAAACGAGGGGTCGGTGGACGTATCGCGGCGAGTGGACGCAGGGATTCAAAGGACGCTACGGCATTCGGCAGAGTGTTAGCTCAGGAGCTAAGTACGAGGGCACCTGGGCCAACGGACTGCAGGATGGATATGGATCCGAAACCTATGCAGACGGAGGTGAGTGATGTTCATCTTTCTGTAATATATATTTTCATTCTATTTTTAATTCTTATCTTCCCAGATCTCGTTTAGTATACAGAACTGTACCAAGTCCATTATCACGGTCATATATCCTTGGGATACTCAAAATTAATTTCAGTAAGAACCCCTGTACGTTCTGATTTTCATGTTTCTGTCATCTTATTTAGCTCTTTCAAACAGTACGACATTCTTGTCGTCACTGACACTATAAAGATGGTGCTATTAATATATAGATAACAGACCATGTCAAGAATTAAATTTTTTGAAACAGAAATTTTGTAAGGATCAAATTTTGAGTATTACTTCCTCTAAAAAAATGATTAACATAAACTGTTGAACTCCTAAGTGAAAGCACAGCGCATCGGGATGTTTGAAAAATTTAGAAAATTGAATGGTCCCTATTTTTAAAAGGCCAGATACGTATTAATTGATTTAAAATTAAGGAAATTAAATTTTTTCCTTTAATATGTTTTATATAAACAAAAATATTATTCTTTATACTGAAAACAATTTCAGCCCATTCTCAATTTAAAAAAAAACATTCATTAATAGTTCGTCTTTACGGTTTAATTGTAAACAGAAAAATGCTAATATTAAAAAATTCTTAAACCTTGAACATATAAAATACATCCCTAGAACAAAACTATGCTTAAAAAACATCGTTATGATTAAAGTGTTTGGGAACTGAGAATCTAAAGAAATTTTGGAGAGACCAGAACATTGTTTCTCCATCTGTGAGCGCAAGCACTATTCTAGTGATTGTTGTGTTTTAGACATCTGCACGAGCTACAAAAAAATGCTACAGAATGAAGATGAATGCATGTATTGTAGTCAGATGCAAATATTGTCAGTCGGTCAGAAAATGATTCAACAATTTTATTCCGATAATTACTTTGTAATTTACAACATTATTCAAATACTTATTTCGTTGGTATAATGGAATTTATTTAAAATGCACTTTAAAAAATATATTTAATCTAAAATACGCTTAATAAACTGTTTCGCTGTGTACGCGTTTTAGGATGTAGGCAAATAAGCTTTAAAAGCAAGTGTATTTACAGCTAGCTTAAAGATTTTTAGGAGAAAAATATATTTACAAAAAGAAACGAAATGCGTATTTGAAGTTTTTTCAGGTTAATTAGCAACAGAACAACATCAGGGCAAAGTTATTTCAGATAACACTTAATTCGAACGAAATAGTTTTAAGTATATTTAGCAATGAAAGGTGCAAATAAACATCTGTAACATTAGGAAACTATGTATAAATTTCATATTTTCTTTTTCAATATGTTTTCTACTGCGGTTACTATTTTTTAAATTGCTGAGCATATGGGTCCTAAATGAAAATGAAAAATTACGTAATAAAATTTAATAATATGGTAATTTAATTTTATTAATACATGGGAAAATGCATCTAATTAAAGTGTGATAATGAAAATTATATAATATTCTACAAATACCTATTTTCTAGTTTTACAATTTATTCGTGTAAAATCTTCAAAATTAAGTTGGACAATGTCAAATTTTCTCATAGAATGGTTTAAATTAATTTAAGGTACGCTTTAATATATGAGTAATTTGTTGGAATCTTCATGCTTTCGTTTGCGTTTATTAAAAATGTGTTCCCGTGTTTTTTCTGGTGATCTGTGAGCATACTGTGTTGATCATTCGGGGTCATGAGTATCCGGGCGGCAAACAACCTAGTGAATTTTTCTTCCTCAATTACAGATATCTTCATAATTTCAATAATCAAATACGGATTTTAATGTCCTGCATTTTTCGTCGATATCCATTCAAAAGAGTTTTGGAATAATTTCGCGCAGATACCATAGCTACTGAGCTGCAAAACCGAAACTTAACGGGAAAAAAAAAAAAAAAAAACGCTTTCTATTTTGCTGACACCCCCCCCCCGAAAAAAAAGGAACAGTGTAATTTTAATGAAGAAAATTCTAAGGTTGTTTCATCGCAAAGGTGCCAGATTCATTACAGAAATGAGCTAACTTTTAGCTAATTAGGAATGCGTATAAATAAATTTTTGAAAATTAATATGCTAGGTGTGTGTAATATGCTAATGAATTCTTAACACAATTATGTAATTAATAGGACATATGTTGCCCAAATTAAGAAATTTGTTTGATAAGTGATTATTATAGTTAAAAAGTGATTTAAATATACTACCTGATTTCCTGATAAGATTATGCAAATTGTGCTCTAGATCTGACAGTTAAGAGTTGGAATAACAAAAACTGTTTAATGATATTTAAATACGTTGTTATGTTTTATAATAACTTGATAGGCTGAAGGCTGTCGAGTTATTTAATGGCCGCATAATTTTTTAGCTCATTTATATGATGGGTTAGGTTAAGTTTGGTTGTTTGAATATGGCAAAGCACATGAAGGCCGTCTGCTTAAAAGGAGAGTTGCTTTCATGAAGGACTTCCTATGGTAAACGGGCTTCTATTCACATTATACACAGGAAAACCTCGGAAAACAACTGTGCAATCAATCTGGTCGCTTGGGTTCGAATTCAAGACAAACTACCAGTATTCAGCAGACTTTAACGTCTCTCCCACTGGGTGCCCCACATCTAATGAGAAATGTTGTCGTGATATGGCACAAATTGCAGCCAGTGCCTCATTAAACAGCGTTCTCACATTCACAGTTTTCAGAAAACTGATGATAGTTTTTCATAATTTCTCCGACATTCTCCGCCGTAATCTACGTACTGTTTTTAACTCTTTCGCCTAATCGATCATTCGGATAACTAATTTCAAAATAATCAAATACGTATTTTAATGTCCTGCATTTTTCGTCGATATCCATTCAAACGAGTTTTAACAAGTTCGGATAGTCAATAAGTAGGGTTATAATTATTATAAATGGGAGTATGTTAAAATACTGCCGACCCTTCTGGACAGTTAGCGAGTTATTGCTAGTGTTGAATATTCACAAAGTATTGAAGAAGGTTTAATTATTCATTTTAATCATTTTAATCTAAATTGAACATAAAGGCACTGCTTGTGCTACAGACAAAATCACCTATAATGGCTATTTAAATTAAGCAGTAATAGATTGTTAAACTCAAACGCTGATAATATAGTCTAAAACTACACATTCAACAGAATAAAAAGTAAGCCAGCTCACACTACTTTAACGACATCAATATAAAGTATCGGCTAGCGAGAACGTTAAAGCTGGAAATAATAATTTTTAGCAGCTCGCGAAAATATGCTAATAGCGAGACACAACTGCTAGAATTTTTCCAAATAACATTTAGGAACTTCAGCTTAAACACGTTCAAATCTAATTTACATTCTGGTGAGAAATAAGGAATTAAGAAGTTATATTAATGATCAAAATCGCATTAACTGGCTAATTAGCATAAGATACCTTACAAATCTTTCGGATAAATAATGTTCAGGTAATCTGTCATTGGGGCAAATAATATTTGTATAACGCATTATAATTAGCCTCTTCAAAGAAATTAGTAAGTGAATACGCATAAATTTAATAAGGTGATAGAAGATAATTTGAAGATAAAACGGACAAAAATACGGGAAAATATTTAATTGAAATTAACTTATTTCGGCAAAATGACAAAACTTTGAAACGTTTTAGACAAAGAAACTAAAACATAAATAATAAAGAATGCCTTTCGTGATGCTTAAATGTTTCCCTAAGGAAACAGAATTTTGTGAAACTGTGCAGTTTATATTGAAGAAAAAATTAACAATAAATTAATTGTTGTCAAAGAACTAATGCTTATGATGTTATAATGACAAATAACGTTAAAGAAATGAGTTGGCATTAACATTATTAGTTATAAGTTTATTATATACTTTTTCAACTGTTAACTGATTGCAAAAAACTGTTTTAAGACAAACTGTAAACTTTGCCAGTTTTTTCTGCCATTCCTTCTTCATCACATCTGTTAAAAAAAAATTGGAATGAGAAGGTTGCATCATCCAGTCCAAGGAAATTTGCCAAAAGTAAGGCTCTGAAGAGATTTGTTGTAATCGATTAAATAATCACTTCATATATTATTCAACACAATGTGGGCGTGTGTGGAGCCTACGCCTACACATAGGCTTACAACATGGGCATAGAATAAAAGAATATCTTTTTTAGCATCATCTGTACCATTCTAATAAATTATCCGAGATTAAATTGTGACATTAGAATGTATAGAATTAAAAACTGAACAATAAACTTAATATGTTGCGTGGCGCGACATATTCAGTACGATATGGTATTTTGTTTTTTGATTTAATAATGCTAATTTATGTTTTTTAATTTTAAGTAGATTGGCTTGAACTTCAAAAACAAAAATGCGCACAGGAATATTTCAAAACGTGTAACTCATCTGAAGACAGTATTTTTATGCATAGAATACTTAGATAATTCTTTACTAATTAGAAATAAAATTATATACATTAATGTAGACGCGAGACATGCACTTTGAACATCTAAATTTTATTTTTCAGTATCTTGAAATAACAAAAGCTGTACTTAATGATCAAATGAATAATGGATAACAATTATGTTATTTATTGACCTCCTAAATGTTGTTCTGTCACAAAGCAGTTTAATTAGTTTGATGATACAACTTTTCGGAATTTAAATGTTTTCATGATCCGTGTAGTTCTGATTTTGCTGATTAAAAAACACTTTAACGTTTTCATATGTCTCGGTAAAGCGCGAGATCATTTCGTATTTACGAAAAGATTTTATATTCATTTAGAAAGAAGTTCTGAAAGGGTTGTATATGAACATAAAATAGTAATAATGAAATATGTAAAGAGGATTTTACTGAAATGAACAAAATAAGAAGCAGTAGCGTTGTATAATTTTATAAATTTCTGCAGAATTCTGATCAACAATGAAAAAAATGTTTTGACTCTGCTTCTGGAGAAAGAAAATCACAATATTAGAAGCTAAATGCTTAATGTTAAATATAATTTTTAAAGAAGCAGATA